TTCCAGTACAGTTCCAAGGGCGCATCTATGGCGCACTCCATACACATGGTCGCTTCAAAGGACATCACGATGGTAATGACGATATTTTGAGGAATGATGTAACTCTGAAGCGGGATATACCTCCACGAGGTCACGCCTCGTTCCAATCTGAGGACGGCTTCCCTGCAGCGGTGCAAGGGGTAATTGAAGTATGTTCCATTCCATCATACATTTGCGGCATGCGCTGACCACTACAGACTCTCTTGGACCAACTGGGAGCCAAAAGGCCAGGCGTCGCCCATGTAGCAGAATTATACTGGTATAATGGGGAGAAGGCAGCTGAAAATTTGGAGCAACTCCACGCGAGAGAGCGCCAACATCTGAGGCTGTCATTTGATAACCGCCGATCGACCTTCGTCCAGAGATTCCGCAAGATGGACAACTTGATCCACGACCTCGTACAACAGGGTCAGAACCTTTCAGACGCGGCTAAATCGGCTTACCACAGCAGGAAGATACAGTCAGAACGGACGCTCGACGCCCTGCAGCGGCTCAAAGTAAGCCTTGGCGACACCTTGGAAGTGGTGTGATGGTCCAGTCGGACTAGCTTTGGCTGCCCTGGCCACCTTGGGCTCAGGAGGACTTTTGACAAAGCATTGTTGCTCAGGAGGGGAGCTCATTTTGTCACGGAATCCTACCCAATAACCCTAAGCAGATACCTAGCACCTTGTATTCAGCTCCTGTTATGCTCTTGTAGTGAAGGTAGCCTGTTCAGTCTCCTCCTGTCCGTGGAGCTAAGGTCGAAGGCTCGGTCTGACCACAACAGAGCAAATGGGATGTCGAACCCACCAGGCTTAAGAGCCTTGCCGGTGTCTTTGTGCTGATACAACAATGATCAATGCAACCATCACAATGACACGTTTGGCAAGCATACTCCGCCTCCTATGGACTTGGTCTCGTAGATGACAGAGTGGACCTGTTGGGCTAGGGCTCAACTTCCTCGTCTCGCCCCACGGCTGCGTCAATTATAATCCCCCCCACGAGCACCGAACCAGCACCAAACACTCCAGGCCTGTCCTTGGATATCACAGCGTGAATGGTTTAGTGGTAAAATTCTCCGTTGCCATCGGGGAGCCCTGGGTTCGATTCCCAGTTCACGCATCGTGCCGACTGGCAAGCGTCCTAAGCGTGTCGTCCAAACCTTTTGTCCTGCCTGGACAGGCCTGATCTGGAAGCGCGGGCTTTGTGTTGTCTTAGTAGCACTGAGGTTTTAGAGTATCGTCGAGTGCGAGGAGGGGAGCTTCACAAGATATGAAGCGCGGACGAGGAACAAGCCCAGAACTCCAGGTGGCCGGCGACAGCTAACAGTTTTGAGTATTGCGGACGATGTCGTAGCCTCAAACAATATGCTACCGGGGGACGCAGTTCCACGAGGAAGTCCCAACTCCTGCGGTTGAGTCTCTCACGGACGCACTGCAATCGTAAGCGTCATATCAATCACGGCTTGGAGAGGAGCTGGAGGCCTTGTGTATGGCCTTTCTTGATGGGCAATAGATGCCCAATTGTGGGGTGGCGATGGCGAGCCACATTTCTTGGACTGTAAAGCATCGCGACATGACAAGGGAAGCAAGTCGTACAAGTGGTACAAAACCTCACATAATGTAAGGTGAAGTTCTGGTACCTACCGATGACTGTTTGGGCAAAGTCCCCCCCCCCCCCCAACATGATTGGTTGCTGTCGATACCTCGATGCACTATACATCAGCCACATCAGCCAGCATTCAAAGGCATCACGACGACCGCCCGATGTGACGTAGGCTGCCTGGAATCTAGGTTGGCAGTCACCCCGGATTTTGACGACTTGCCCAAACCCAGGATTCAGTGCCTGCATCGTTTCTCTTTACCCTATTCTATACTCTTCATCACACTCCTCGCAGCACTTTCACCAACTGCCCAACATGCTTGAGAGCCAAGGTCGACCGACCACCCCAAGGTGTGTACTGAGTCTCTTATCAGCTCTATCAGCCCCTCCGCATTCTGCCCCTCAGTATCCCATCTGTGCATCTGTCCGCGCGGTCAAGCCACGACGACATCAGACCGCTCAGCCTCATTGGGCTACCCGGACCGGCTGCCTCCACTTCGTAGCCTGTTGCTGGAGTCAGATCCCAACCTTTGAACCCCAGTTCAAACGGGCAGGGCTGGTCTGTTCACAGGTTCTCCAGTTCTTTCACCCCGCTGGAAATCATCTTTTGCATTGACTTTTGGCCCGCCGACTTGTTGATTGCCATTGCTCCAACCGCTCGGCTCGACCTTGTCAGTTGCTGTTCTGTTATTTACTTGCACATATCTACCTTTCCTCCCCACTGGACACCCCCTCTTGTCTTTGTTGATCCCCGAGCGCTCCGAACTCCCTCTGAGTCGACGATCATCACTAACGCCTGACTTCGTCGTGTCAGCGGCAGCCGCCTCCGCGACTTTGCCGACCTCGCCCTTCGTCCCTCACGTCGCAGCCACAGTCGCAGCCGACACTCGAGCACTTCGAGCGGCGAATCTCTCACAGCAGCGCCTGTCCACTCGAGCTCGCCAAAACCCGAGTCGCGCCTCGCCATGCCGTTCCGCAAAATGGCCCGCCACTTTGGCGACTCTGTGAGCCCCCCTCCCCCAAGAACCCAGACAGCTACCGGGACGATACGACGCAGCCGTCTTCACTAGTAGGAAGCTTGGGCAGCGTGGCCGTCTTTCGCATCACGCCTACCGGCATTGCTACGCTTGCGCAAACCGAAAGACGGGCAGTCAATCGCTGACGTACTGTCTCGTAGCTTTCGCCGCATTCAACCGTCCTGTCGTGTAAGTCAGAGTCCCAATAAGTAACCAGCAAGCAGCGGCGCCTGACTGACTCACGCGCCTTACAGACCACGACATCACTCGTACGTCGCTCCCATCGGGCCAGGCCTTGCGCTGCCCGGTCCATGCTCCCGTTGCTCACCACCGCCGCCAGTTACATACGAAGATCTCAAGGCGTTGAAGAATGACTGGTTGACGGATAACGTGCGCTACCCGACCTAACAACCGTGTCATGCTGGCGCTAACTAACCTGTCTGTAGAACATTGCTTTCTGGGAAGAGTTCGTCACATCGCCACGGCGCGCCTGTACCCCCCTTCTGACCGTGACAGATACCTCGAACGCGAACTGCTTCCCAAGTACCCGCAAGCCCGCATCATCCTTTTGCGCCCCTCCATGACATTCCTCCTCATGAAGGAACCCGATATGCGCGCCATTCGATCTGCGCTGCCTGACTTTTCCAAGGTCACCCACATCTTCCTTCCAATCAACGACGCTCGCAACGTTGCACAGGCCGAGGGCGGTTCGCATTGGTCCCTGCTCCTCGTATCGGCTATTGACGGTGTCGCGTTTCACTATGATTCTCTCGGCGGCGCGAACTATCAGGAAGCTCGTCTCGCCACTCGCAAAATGTCCGAGATCCTTAATCGTCCGTTGCGCTTCCTCAACCTCGAAGACTGCCCGCAACAGGAGAACGGCTCTGACTGTGGCGTCTTCGTCTGCATCCTGATGCGCCACCTGCTCGTCAAGCGGCTGCTCAGCGCTAACGCCCGCGAGAAGGTCAGCATGAGCATGGGCAATAAGATGATTGACAGCCACGGTGGCAGGAAGGAAATGTTAAAGATTATCGAAAGTTTCCGTAAGGAAGGCGAGAGGAGACGATCGTACGTTCAGTCTTGCCTAGTTTTGACGAATGCCCGCTTGCTGACCACTTCACCCGTAGAAGAAGCGCATCGCCCTATTCTTCCAAGACACCGCCGCGAATCGAGTAATGATCGATATTGGGCATGGGAGGAGACGTAACAGGCCAGCCAACGTCAGCTTCAGATGAGCCAGCTATAGCGGGACAAATTAGGGGTGGGCGGGGATTTGCGAATGAGGATACCTGGAACTTTCTCGGAGGCGTTAACGGTTATGCAAGTTGCTTTTGCGCGAATGAGCGAATGAGAAGAAACGACGACACGCATGAGTAGTGAACAGCTGATATCTCGCATTGTACTCAATACATGTCGAATTGGGTATATTCTTGGTCTTCCATAGTGACCGCGATGCTATGTTTGGGGCTAGGAAACTGACGCTTTAGTCCTTGTGCCCGCTCCGCCAGCGCCTTGCTGTATCACTGTGGGCTGGATTGCGGTTCCTTAGAACGTGTTCCAACAGAGAAGTGACTCCAGACCAGGCCGGAGCACCGATAGCCGTGCTTCCCTGTATGCCTGGTATGGTGCGTCACTACCATTGGCTTTCTTCCAGTGACAGCGTGACTGATGCCTTTGGTCATTTTAGATCTTCATATTAATATGTGTAGGCCTCCGTCCCGAAACCTCAACCCTTGCCGGCACCCTGGCCGGTGAAGGCAGGGTTTTGCTCCATTGTTGTCGAGATGTGCCGCCTCAGAGCTGCCCACCGATTTGTTGTCGCTGGTGCCGGCGCGGCAGGAGTATCTGCGGTGTCCTCCACGGTCATCGTCTGGTTCTCCGCCGCCGCCGCCGCCGCCTCGGGCGTCGCCGCGAGAGCAGCCATGCTGGCGCCGAATCGCGCCATCTCGCCCCGCACAACCTTTTCCTTCCTCTTCAGCGCGCCCGGTCGGCTCTTGAGACTCTTGTGGCGCACGCGTCCTTCGCGCAGCTGCGCGACGTTTCCGTCCGCCTCGTTCGTCAGCTCCGGCAGGCATCGGCGAGGGACTCCATCGTGGCGACGAGCTCTTGTTGGGCGGCGCCGCTTGAGGCTTGACGCCGGCGACACGTGATTGATCTTGGAGAATGAAGCCGCTGTGCTTCATGACACGCTTGTCCTTTTTTGTCGAGAAGGAAGCCGTCGGGGACGTTGGCTTCGGCGCGGTGCGTCTTGGTGGGTGCGAGGGGATGCATTGCGCCTGAGATGCGGGCAAAGCGCGCGGCGCGCGCGGACATCTTAGGGGGCGCGGTGGGAGCCTTGCATGGTCAGTAATGTCTCCCAAAAGTGCCAGCGTTGTTCCTTTCCTGCGATCGCGTACCATTGTGTAGACAGTCGAGTGGCAGCTCCGTCAATGTCGAGTTTCGCAGTCGAAGGCAAAAGGTTTACCGTCGACTTGGGAAGCATTGGAGTTTGGCCTGTCAGTGACAAAAATTCAAGGTGGGGCACCTTTGTGGGGCCAACGATAAGGCGTGCAGGGATCCCATCCACCCCGCCAAATGGGCTTGTCAGTGACTGATGACTGCTTCCATGCACAACTTTGAACCTGCCCCGCTATGATCAATGATGGACAAGATTGAGATCCTAAGGAAGAAGGTCGTAGAGGCCGAGAACGAGCTACGCGCATTGAAAAACGAGCTAGCTCGAGCTGTCGTCGAGGCAGATGGACAGCAAAGGCCAAGACCTGATACGACATGGAAGTGGCCGCTGACCGCGGGAGAATATGAGCGATACGGCCGCCAGCTCATAATACCAACAGTTGGAATTCAGGGTCGGTCGTCCTAGAGTAATAAACTTGCTGTGTCAACACTGATCACTCAATGCACAGGCCAAATACGACTCAAAGCATCTTCGGTCCTCGTCGTTGGCGCCGGAGGCTTAGGATGCCCTGCAGCAGCTTACCTTGCTGGCGCCGGCGTTGGTACTCTCGGGCTAGTGGATGGCGACACGGTAGAGACGTCAAATCTGCATCGTCAAATAGCTCATGCCACGTCAAGAGTTGGGAAATCAAAAGTGGAGAGCGCCTTGGCCTTCCTACGAGAGTATGTGCTCTTTTCCCGCAATGCTGACCACAAGTTTGCTGACGAACCAGTCTCAACCCAAACGTAACCCTCAACGCGCACATCACGCATCTAACCCCCCAAAACGCCGAGTCCATCGTCGCAAAGTACGATATTGTGCTGGATTGCACTGACCATCCGACGTCTCGATACCTCATCTCCGACATTTGCGTTCTTCTGCGAAAGCCACTCGTCTCAGCATCAGCCTTCAAGACCGATGGGCAGCTCATCGTGCTCAACAACCCCGCAGCACCGCAAGGCGCGCCGGTGGAGGAAGGCGGCCCATGCTACCGCTGCGTCTTCCCCAAACCACCACCGCCAGATAGCGTCGTCAGCTGTGGAGAAGGCGGCATCCTGGGCCCCGTTGTCGGTGTCATGGGCGTGCTACAGGCGCTGGAGGCCATCAAACTGATATCCTCTGGCTTTCAGCCCACCTCGCCGTCGCTATTGCTGTTCTCAGGCACAGCCGGTGCCCCGTTCCGATCAGTCCGAATGAGAGGCCGTAAGAAGGACTGCTTTGCATGTTCGCCCGAGGCGGCTCTGACACTAGAGTCGCTAAAATCAGGATCCCTGGACTACGTTCAGTTTTGTGGCGTCGCGGCGCCGCTGAACATCCTGCAGCCAGAGGAAAGGCTATCTGCGGCGGATTTTGGCCAGCTACAGAAGGGTTCAGCTGTGCGCGTTCTTCTGGATGTCAGAGAAAAGGAGCACTTTGATATCTGCAGCATCGAGGGCGCCATCAACCTGCCGTTAGCTATGTTCCTCAAGGAGAACCCTGTTCAGGAGCAAGACGCTGGGAAAAGACCATCATGGTTACCCGCGAACTCTTCAGATGATACCCCGATCTACGTGGTGTGCCGCGTGGGCAACGACTCGCAGCTGGCGACCCGTCGGCTTAAAGACTTGGGGTTAGACCGTGATGGGAAGCGATTCATTGGCGATATTAAGGGTGGGATGAGGGCTTGGAAAGACGAGGTAGACTCCAGCTTACCCTTCACATGATGGGTAGTGGAACTTGATGGGGCGTGAGGTGCCCGTGATTGTACATACATTCTTTGCTGTCCTTGCCAAGTCCACCCTTATGCTACAACGTGTGCAAGGGCAGCCAACGCCCATGAAACCTTGAATCCCATAGTACCATATGTAAAGGAAATATTTGCTGTCGAGCTAGTCATCTGCATTGTCCATCCCTAGACAAAGTTGGTGCGCTTCTTGTTGAATGCGCGTTGGTCCTTGAGCCACTGGCGATATCCTGCAACGCTCGAGATGTTTTCGCCGTAGTAATCAGGCACTGTTTTCCCGTTAGGATGGTCTATCGTAGAATGAATCGGGAAGACAAACCTGGGTTACCAGCGCCCGAAGCGGTGGGGTCCACGCGGTTCTTCTTGACACGGCCGAAGAATTCAATCTCCTTCTATTAAAACAACAGACATTAGAAATGCCCCCAATATCGTGATTGACGTCAACTCACGTTGGTGATCTGTTTCTTCCACTTGCGGTTGATCAAGTTGAAGACGGTAGAGCCCAGACTAGGGCCCGCAAGCCAGCCGAGACCTGCGAAGCCCAGAACCATGATGCCCAGCGTGACGAAGGGATCGAGTGGAATCTGGGACAGCACCGGGTCTGCCACACCGGTCGACAGGAAGATTGCTCCCGCAGTGCCACTAACGCCGAGCATCGTCACGCTGAACACGAGTTGCCATCGTCGGCGCGTCTTGCGCAGCTTGAAGAATGTGTTCCAGTCGCAGGGTCTGGCCTGCCTCAGGGGACACGGGTCGCGCCGTATTCGAAGTTGTTGACTGGAAGCGGCATGTAATTTGAGAGAGGATTGAAGTCGGTGCAGATGGCGCGGCGCGGCGAAAGGAGCCGAGAGCGATGGACCTGGCGACGAGAATACCCTGCGGTTTGACGAAGGGCGTCGCGGTAGTGGTGTACTGGCAGGCGGGCGTCGCACGTGCGAGCGTTGTCAGGAGGGCGGTTCGGGGCGCAGCATGGCTGGCGAGACGGAATGCCAGTGTTGTTGATGTTGTAGGCGTCAACATGATGAACTGAGTTGTCGTGGCACGCTTTAGGCTGATGGTTGTAAGGGTTCTGGTCGATGTCAGTCGATCGACTTGATGCAGAAGCTGGAGGTGGAGCTGCGGTGTGGTCGAGCTTGAGTGGAGAACTCCTCGGCACCTGGTCGCGTTCGTTTATTGGCAACGGCAACAATCCACGTTTAGGCTGGTATTTCATCATGTACTCTGAAATTTACATATCGAGCATTCTATATTAGTAATAATAGATTTCAGGGAAAACACACTATATTTCTTTACTATTAACTAGATACTACTAATTTCTTAAGAATTATAATATTTAATTAATTACCTTTTTTATTTTAAATGTTTAATAACTAAGATAGTTATAGACCGTTTCCAAGTACTTATAAAGTAAAACTAAAGTATACTTCTTACTATTACTACTATATAGGTAAGTTATACTAGCTATAAGTCTGATACTATAATAATTTTATATTTATATATAAGTTATAAGACTTCTTAAGCATTAGCTCTAGATTAGTTGCATTAGTACTGAATTTAGATATGAATGCCCATTAGTATACTACTCGCTTAATTACTAGCGCTCTTTTATGCTTTCTTCATTTCCTAATTATACCCTAAAAGTAGGCTGTCAAGCATTCCACCTGCACGTTGGCGAATACGAAACTTGATCGCGCCCTTTGGTGTTGATGTGAACCGCTGTGAGGTTGGCTTCCAGCAGAACCATGCATTGGTGACTGACGCTTCTTAAGGGGATCGAGCTTGCCATCCAGAAAGGCACCCGCGTCGTGTCGCGACTGGCGCGCGACCAAGCCTTGACGATCTCAACAACAAAACCTGCCGGAACATGCACAGCGATGTCGAGACCACGCCGGGCACCGACTTCGAGTGCGACCTCGAGCCGGCCCGGAAAAGAGAGATCCATGGTGCGCGGGGAACTCGCTGTCGCCATTAGCTCTACGTATCGCGCTTATCACCCCGGCCGAAGACGTCTCGCTCCCATTACCCTCCTACCGAAACACGACACCACGGCGTATATCCATGACGAATACAAGACCTTGCCAAACAGCAAAGACAGCAGAGTCCACATCAATTATCTCGTTGGGTGGACGGACCTGCAGGCTGGAATGATCAGTGTCGACGCTGGCAGTATACACGAATATGTATCGGCTCGGGCATACGAGGACTGGAATACCAAAAAGGCAGCTGAAAGGGACGAGGAGCTCAGGAAAGAAGAGGAGGCCGACAACGTGAAACTTGTCGAAGAGGCAGAGATGAAAGAGCGCGGCATACACCTCCGCAACGGCACTCTTCAGGTACCAGCTCGGAGCATCTCCAGGGATCATGCTGTGTCTAGCATACCACTGAAGGACAGAAGGAAGAAGGCAAGCAAGCATGTTCACCAGCGCGCTTCGCCGGTGCCTAGGGACAGTGCGCCCATGATCTTAGCGCCGACTGCGTCGTGTAGGGATATAGAGGCTGACGGCCGTCCCGACTCCGCTTGCGATACAGACGCGTCCATTCGACGACAATTGGAAGGCGATGACACGACCGGCGAGAGCGAATCTCTGACGTATTCCTCACGGCCAATCTCCACGGTGTCCATGACAGGTATAGGAATGTCAAGCGGACCTAAAACTGTACTTAAAAAGCGACGGAGATCCTCACTGTCCCATTTGCAACAACAGGATCCTTGGCGAGATCTGGATGCAAGCCGCGCCGGCGGCTCAACCGCTCGGAGCTCTGCCATGCGACAGAATCTACAGCGTCCTCCCGTCATCGCGTCCGGGCAAAGCCCATCGACGGACTCACCGAAAAACCATACCCCAGCTTTCAACAAACAGACTCAAGGCATGTCCTCTCGGTCGGTCTCGCAGCCACTCAAAAGCCTTCATGAGGCCGCAGGTGACTCGCAAACAGATGAAGCCATGGGGCCACGGCCTGTTGCATCTCTCAGCTCGACCCATGTTGCCTCAGCTGTCGCTCGCCCTCCAACATCGACAACCCAGTCCGCAACACCGCTTACAGGTTTCACGCCGCTGGGTGGCCGTCGAAGTTCGCCATGGACCCGGATGATCAAGTCCCCCAGCATCACCGATTATCAGCCCTCTATAAGATTGCCAATCAACAGTAAAATGATACCAATGGACTCTCCTACGGCTTTATTAGCCAAACCACCGACGAAGAATCCCAAAAAGGTACCGTTGAAACCGCCAGTGCATCCTGCAGAACCCGAGGATGAATCAGAAGAGGTTTATGAAGTCAAGCGGCTCGAAGACACCAAGCTCCTCGATACCGAGAACGGCGTTCAGCGGATTTTCCTTGTTCGATGGCAAGGCTCTTGGCCTGAGGGACAGAATCCTACGTGGGAGCCCGAAGAAAATATTCCCCAAGACCTGGCTCGGAAGTTTATGTTGAAGCGAAAAGCAGGATTAGGCAAGAACAAAGCCACCGACACTGCACGACGACCAGCCTCGCCGCCGTGGAAACAGCAGAGAAAGTGGTCAAGCGTGTCCGAGGCTTTCGCTGGGGAAGACAACGGATCCGACTTGAGAACAACTGGCATAATCAAATTGGAAGTCCGCGAAGCCATGGGTCACGATGGTGAGGAACAGCTTCTTGTTGTCGATGAACAGACTCCGACTAGTAAGCCAGCATTGAACTGGGATATGCTGATGGGTAGTAAATTTGGTGGAACAGCATAAACTTCGTTCCGCCCCTACTCATGAGCCATGTAACAGAATGGCCTCGGCTGAGATATTTTATGATTGAGAAGATGAATACTTGGTGGCGGCGGCAGACTTCAGACGCCAGACGTGTAACGAATATTGAGAAACTGAACATAGCGATACGGCGTTGGCAGCATGTTGGGCAGAGTGTCTTATCGGTATGTACTGACTGTATTGTCAAGAGTAATGACCCAGCATATGAGGAATCGAATCCAGACGAGCATATGTTCTGCTATTGATCAACCCCTGAGGTCAACCGCGGGCAACTCTTGACCAACTCAACGTAAAATCGCCTCCCAAATTCGTCAAATTCATCCAGGCCTGAAGTGGCCGCTTGCACAACTCACAGCGTGTGCCTCATTGGACCCGTGCGCAAGGACCAGTCAAACCAGAGCATCCTCCCTATTGCTGGCTTTCACGCTTTTTGACGTATTCATTCACCTTGCGAATGTTGGTGAGTCCCTCCGCCGCAAAGTATAGATCAAGGCTTTCCTGCACGTAGGGTTCCTCAGTTTCGAGATTGTAGTGGAGCCATTCTTTATAGCTCTCTTCTCTGTACATTGAAGGTTCGGTCAGTGAGTTTCCGACGCAGTGACGAAACTGCACAGCGCCAGAGAGAGGGTCGCGCTCAAAACTACAGGGTCTGCCTTCACGATCGACGCCCTCCCAGCTTGGCCATTGATCAGAGCGCTCTCGGTCGGCGTAGCGTTCGCGCGGAGCTTCCTCGGGGCCATGGCATACCAGCCAAGTCGTAAATCTCGCGCATCTCATGCTTCTGTCGGTCATCGACCTGTCGGCTGCCATTGCTGACCGACGAGTCGACTGCCGATCCCATGGAAAGACGATTCGGGACTTTGTCGACCGACATGAGTTTGCCGAGCTCGTGAGGGAAAGTTCGACAGTCAGTGAAAGGCGTCTTGGATGCATCGAAGTTGTTGGCACTGCAAGGGTCAATTGAACGGTGCACCTGGACATCAACCTGTCCATCATGTGTTTTGGCGTGTGTAAGCAAAAAGAAACAGGCGGTCGCCAATTCAATGCTTGCAAATTCAAGCACGACTTCCTGAGTGCCGACGACTTTGAATTCGGCAAGAACGTGGTGTAATGGGCGGCCAAGGCAAACAGCCTGAACAGTCCTGCTAATGCGGGAGCTGTTGAGTCCACGCACCTGGAGGCATCTGGTGCAGCCCATCTCGAGCAACCTGCCTACATTAGGCTTGAAGGGGTGCGACGCAACACCAGAAGACACGACCGAGGCCTCCACATGATTACCATTGATTGTCTTGAAGCCAAATTTTCGTTGAGCAGCGAGTTGCATGAACCTCTGCGCTGCCTGGGGCGTCTCGAAAGTAATTATCGCCGACATGTCTCCCAACCCGGGAAGTCCTGCCACGCTGACAAGAATAGCTTTGACGACGCGGCCTCCACAGACATGCTCGAGGACCTGACCAATGCCAACATTGTTAGGGAGGTTGTTAATTATCACGGTACGTGACTGGGACTGGTGACCAAAGGCGCCAGCCTTGAGCTGGGCAAGAAATGTAAGAGGAATATTCGGTGCTGGCTCAAAGGGTTGTTCGGGGGAAACGTCGGGTTTCAAATCACTTGCAACATGAATGGTGTCAGCCATATGGAGCGCATCCTGGGATTCCCGTTCACCCAAGTCCTTTTTCGGAAAGCTGTCGGCTCCATGGTTGACGGTTGGCGTGGCCGGGCGAGGTGCCGGCGTTTCGTTGCCAACAATTGCGAAGGTAAGCAAGTCGGCAATCGGCTCAACACAATGAGAACGAGGCATCAGCGGTGGATTGTCGTCCGAGGTGACGGGAATTTCTATGGCGGAAGGATGTGGATGAGATTCACCCTTATTTTCAGCAGGAAATGCGGAGGGGTACTGCGTTGCACGAGGTGAATGGCTCGGATTCTGCTCCGAAGCAGAGACCTCGCGTGGGCCTATCTGGATGTAGTGCGGTTTTTGGACACCCATAGGTAAAGCTTGTATCAGTTGCATGGCTGCAAACTCCCCACGATGTTCGGGAAATCTTGAGACGAAGTCTTCAGCCCAGTAGCGCTGAAGAGAGAGTTCTTCGCACAAATGTTGAGCTTCCATAGTGCAGCGAGGAGTGCCACAGGCTGAGGTCTGAAGGCCACGTATGATGCGATTCTGCATGCCATGGTCAAGGATCTGGCGGGAAGCTACGCGATCAGTGTCAAACCTAGTGGCAAAGGCCGCACGATAAGAATGTGATAGGGGGGGTTCGGGAGGTCTGTGTTGCACCATTGTGTCTAGAGTAAATGCTTGGTCGATGGTGCGGCTGGCTCGTTGGTCAGAGTCTTTGTTGATGAAGAGGTTGGGAAGATACTGCATAATACGTCAGTTCACGTCCTTGCGTTTTGAAGGAGTCATGCCCAAACCTGCGGAGAGGGGAAATCCATACATTAGCTATGATTGAGGTAAGTGTTTGTGGGAGAGGTCGCTATTCTAGATATTGAGTATGCAGAGAGAATTTGATGGATTGAAAGGTGAAAGCATAAAAGAGGCGCTTTCTACCTCAGGGTGATAATTCGTCGACGGGCAAGGAGATTGGGACGCACCGGAGGCTTTTCTGGTTCTTCAAGGTGATATTATGTCTAGATCCTGGTCAGGATGTGGGTAGGCTGCACATCTAGAGTAGCTAGGTAGGTAGTTTGATATAATTGGCGAGGTTGGTGAATGAGGAAGAGCGCTGGAAGCAAGGCAGGACTTGTTATGTCAAATGTGAGAAGAACCTTCGTCCAAGTGAAGAAGCAAGAAGAAGCGGTTGAATGGTTCAAGATCAAGCGGAACATTCATAAAATGAGAGCCGCCATGTACGGGCAGGTGTACGCACACGCCTGCCAGCCTGTAAAAATCATATACTACAGCTGCGGAATTTGCAGGTTGACTTGTGTATCCCGGCCCAATCTGCGTCCACATACGAGTAGCAATACTTGCATTGAAGCAACCAGTCAACGATCTACAATAGCACGGGCAACAGGGTATATGTTATTGGAACCTGAACCTACCAGCGCCTCGCTCAGACATGTAATCAGACAAGTAGGAAAAAGACTGACAGTCCGTAATCAAACCTCTACAACAATGGCGTCGACCATGCTAAGAAATCTCTTTCGGTACTCCGTCGGATTGGCGGTGATGCTCATTGGTCCCTTGTGAGCGACCTTATTGAACAGCTTGACAAGGCCAGTCATGGCCTGAGCATGAAACTTGTGCCTCGCCCAGAAGAAGTCAAGGACCACCACCCGGTACGTCCATAAGCCAGCCGAATCTGTCATGCCCGTTCGCCAGAGTTCAGCCTCAGATTTGACATTGGCGACATCGGGTTGCGGATCCGTGGTGTTAGGGCCTGGATATCGAACGAGGAACAAGGAGTAGTCGATGGCATTATTGTCGGCCAAGAGTTGTGTGTCGAGAGACAATATGTCGAGCAGTTCCTTCTTGCTCTTCGCGTCGACCTTGACGCGGTCAGGGAACTCGTCAACCAGCTTGTCTTTGACACTCTGAGGAGCCAGATTGCCATCGGCAATATCGCGCTCTGGGAAGAAGTAGTTACTGGGTTTGAGGTCGTATGTCTCCCACTTCATGGCATGCCAGTCGTCGCCGCTCTCTTGCTTTCCATACAGTAGGTTCTCCATGATAATATGATGGGTTGGTGCCGTACCGATGATGCCACCAAGCGTGGGGTGGGGTGTGTACACCATGTCGGCGATCCGCACGAGCAAGCTGTGGGGATGGTTGCGCATGTGGTCGACATATGGGTTGAAGAGATCGTGTGTGAAGAACGTGTGCTCAAATCGACGAGGAAGAGACTTGATCAGGTACTTGGAGTTCGGAGTAGTAAAGAATGTCGAGCCACTGTAGCCCAAGTCTCCGACAGGCTTCAGTCTCAGTTTATCGCCTTGGACTTGCTGTCCCTCAACGCCGTCTGGTGTTTGCAGTGGCCTGAAAGAGTCGAGATACTCGCGTTCATCTAGCTTCCAGACACCCTCACGCAAGGAAGCAAAGTCATTGCGACGATACCGAGTCAGGAAAAGCTTGAACAGGGCAAAGAAGGCAAGGACGAGCCTGATGACTCGGTGATGGAGCCTCGATTTGTTCGGCGCTGTGTCGGATTCATCTTGTGCGATTGCCTTAAGAATGGACCTCGATATGAGAGACTCGCGAATCTTCATGGTGGGTCGTTGTTCCTGCGGTATCACGCTTGACGTTGTTGCGGGCAAGTCAAAGATGCCTGGCTGTACTGGACCTTACGAGTTGTTGGAATGTAGTGCATGTGACGTCACCGACGTGACTGAGGGAGGAGCGGGCCGCGTCGGGATCCACACGTGATTCTTGGGGGTCGAAGAACCTCACCACCTATCGTTTCCTCTCAGCCATGGCTGTTTTACGCCCTTAACTCAGCGCCTTCGTCCTCGTCGCTCGGGGAATATCAGCCGCCAGGGATATGTAGACTACGACCTCCTGTCGCATTAGACTCCGCATTCGATAGCATGAACTATGGAACGATGCCCTGTTGGGGGTGGGGTGGTATGGAACACCATATGCCGTGACCAAAAAGGACGTTGAGCTTGGCGCGAATCTGTCTTCATCTCGGAATATCAATTGATACCACGCCATCGCGCGTGGACATGGTGAGAAACATGGCAACCTGTTGCGTCTTCTTAGCAGCTTTACCGATTCCATGTGGCGAAAAGCAGTGATCGGCCTCACAGGCCTCGTCGTTTGTACAACTGCGTGGTCGAACACATCCACGCAATGTCGCTGGCATATCGCACCACCTCTGGCGCAACAGGAACGGACAGAATGCCCACTGCCGCTTGGCGATCCTCAGAGGGCCGGCGACAATGCTGACCCATGGACTCATGAGCTCAGCTGCGTTTACGCACGATCCGAGCAGGGCATACCGTCCGGACAAGCCAAGGCTGCCTACTGCCTTTTCGCTCACCACACGTTCCGTGGTAACCATGGACTGAGTATTACTACTTCGCCAGAGATTGCAGCAGACATTGTGGCCTCCGGCGCTCTAGAGGACATGGAAGACTCATGGGACTGGGAGCGGCGGATCTTTACGCCTGGTCCAGTCGTCACAAACAAAGGCTCGTCGTACGCTGTGAAGGATCTCCCTGGCAGAGGCAAGGGAGTCATTGCGCAAAGGACAATTCGTCAGGGCGAAATACTCATGCTCGATTATCCTGCCGTGCTGGTGGCGAGCGACTTCTCCTACCAGATGCAACCAGAGATGCGAGAAACGTTCTTCAGACGAGCGCTATCACAGCTTCCAAAAGACACACAGAAACGTCTAGTGAATCTGGCTCGCTCAGATGGGGCAGACCCCCTCACGCCCATGTACGATATTGTCACGACAAACACATGTGGCGTTTTCCTTGGGGACAATGAAGCTCACATTGGTCTATTCCCGGAAGTCTCAGTATGTGGTTAGGATACGCTTGCGGTGCAATGCTGACGTTTCCCCAGCGCTTGAATCATGCGTGCAAGCCAAAGTAGGAGCCCTTCATGCTGTTTTAAGCAACTGCTGACTCCCCAGTGCATTTTTTCGTTTCTCTCAGCGAACTTTGACGATGCAAGTGATTGCCTACCGCGATATCCGTGCAGGCGAAGAAATTACGATAAACTGTGTGACATCCCCTCTCGTTGGCTCGATCGCTCGCTAATCCACCTAGATGCTCCGCTCGGCATGCCGCACAAAGTTCGGAAGAAATATCTTTTTGATAATTACGGCTTTCACTGCCGTTGCTCCCTTTGTCAGTCAAGCCCGGAGGACAGGGCCATTTCTGATGCCAGGAGGATGCGCATCGTCGAGGTTCGCGGCAACATGAGGAAGGCTCATGAGAAAGGGAAGCTTACCGATGCTATCACGTACGCCGAAGAGCTTCTAAGCCTTTCTGAGGCTGAAGGGTTGACACCCCTCATGCATGAGTACCACGAAATTTTAGCTAGCATCTACCTTGAACGGCTCGATATTCCGAATGCGCGGAAATACGGGCAAATAACTCTTGATGGATGGATACGGTTCAAAAGCGTGGATAGCTTCCACGTTGAGGCTATGCGTGGCTTCATGCGCCAGATCGACCATGTCGAAGAGACGATTCGTGAAACGAAGGGGGTTCATAGTTAGGGAGGGATGGCAAAGTATCAACCTCGGGGAGAGACGTGATTAGTTTGATATTATCAAACGCAAGCCCTAGTTGATGGACATTGTTTTGATGCATGGAGCGGAAGAGTGACTGAAGTCCGAAACCCCCAGCTAGAGTTAATCGTGTTTGAGAAGGGGCCCTTGAACGACATTGTTGAACCAACGCTAGGTATTGTACTGTACTGATTGTGATCCCTTTATCCTTGATTTCTCCATTTCCTTTTGGCTGAACCATAATCTGTGATTCAGACACCAGGCTTCCTCCTCAGGGTTAATGTGCGGCCTGTGTTAGTTTCGGCCTTGAACATCTTTCATCGCGTATCGAGGTCATCATTGGCGAATTGCCCAACGATCGTATCGTACTCTGAGGCCGCAAGACCAGGAAGATTGAAGAACACCTATGGCATGATGTGGTTGAGAATCAAGTTGGAACAAGTTGATCACTTGTCAAGGAGCGGCCTCCACTTGTCAGTTTCAAGCTGCTTCAAGCTGCTTCGAGCTGTCGAAATATGTAGGACGTATTTTAGCTTCAAAATATGTACGTTCCGGCTGCTCATTTACAGTCTGAACGCAAGCGCTTCATTTAGCATCTAGAGAAATTGGTGAGGAAGCAGCTCACACCATCATGACCACTTCCAAGCGTCGGAGGCTCGAGGCGCTGGTCGTTACCCTCGTACCTGGTACAACTGTGGTTGCTGTCCTGGCAGGAGTTGCTGACACGGCATGTATCGCCATAGTTGCTATTAATGCCACAGAGTTCACCTCCCCCCTTGCCCATGGATCCTGAAATTGTAATGTGACGTGGCCCGCCATTGCCGGGACAGTTGCCGCAAGTTCTGATCAATTTGCCGTACGTGTTGGCGTAGAAGTCCTTGATCTGGACGGTGCCGCGGCCGTTGAACTGGAGAATCTTGTCCTTGGCCTTGAAGGCACCGCCGCCATTGACAAATGACGTGCCCGAAGGCTGCTTGAAGGTGGCAGCATCCTCACAAACGTCCTCCCACCAGACATTGTTCAGGGTACTAGAGTCGTTCAGCTCTGGAAACGTTTCCCAAAAGAGTCACACATACCAGGTGCCCCTGCAGTGAACACCCTCAGCTTGAGAAGCGCCCAAAATGACATTGGAGAGCGTTGCACCGCTCTCGAGGATGAACATTGCGTCCTTCTCCCCCTTTTCCTGTTGACCACCACATGTCGGTGGATCACGTTCGAAGCGCTTCATGCCACCATCGTAAACAGTCTTGACGGGAATGGCAGTAGGGTGGGCCTCGACCCCGGCTGACTTGGGGAGTGTTGTGGTGACAGCAGCCGAGGCAACGGCGATGGCGGATAGGAAGACAATAGGGGACTTCATGTTGAGCGAGTATCAAGAGCGTGTGGGAACGGTATTGTAGGATTGAGACGTCGAGACTGATGGTTTCCAAGAAGACTTGCCGAACAGAACACGGCGGCCTTTATACTCAATGAGACCATGGCTCTTTTGAGTGTTCTCTGCCCCAAGTCTGTCGCCTGTGTTCCCACTCTATGTCCTGGCCAGTTACGATACTCATTTGAGATAGTGCTGCCTTGCTGGAAACACCGCGTCGGGATCAATTGCATCGGACGAGGTCATCCTGTCTGCGTTGTCATGCAGCAAGTGAATCTGATTCATGTTCATGGTGTCCAGGACAAATCTCGGCGCCTATTGCGGCGAGCATAAACACCCTGGGCTCTTAAGTTGTGGTCGCGACTCAGTCTTCGCAGGACTTGCTTGTTCTGAGCACCATAGAGCTGGCTGTGTGACCCTCGCAAATCGGGGACCAAGCCACACGAGATATCCGTCAGGCAGATGGAAGCCAAGACCCCCAGATTAAGAGCAGAGTCCAGACCGCACTATTCTCTTAATGAGCGTCAAAGCTTGGGCCCCGTAGGAATGTGACGCCCTTTGCCGCGCGGAACAATCTCGAGATTCGTTGGTTGCTCTGCCCAATTGTAGACGGGCGACCGCGTCCTGAGAAGCTGTCTGCTGTGCATTCAAGTCCTGCTAGACAAAGCGCGCAATGGGATGTGCAGTGAATTCTATTCCAGGGCACTAGTCAGGATGATGTCTTCGACCACCACGATGGATGAATTGGGCGGTGATGCCTGAGCAAGGCGAAAGGCCCCATCGCAAACTCATTAAATATTGATGAAACAGGAACGGATTCTGTACATGTGGCAATGTCAGGCCGTCCGGCCGGCACGTCCGGGTCAATATGCAGGATGAGACGACGCTAGCTGTGTGGTGAACTTCATCATCAGGTCGGAGCACACGCTACTCGACGGCTCTCCACTGCTGCTCGAGCAGTCCAACATTGGCCGCAGAACCCATCGCATTCAACGACATTTCCGAAGATTGTTTGTTGTAAATAGCACCCGTCAGCTCATTTTGGTTGGCGAAGCCGTAGCCGACGCCGGCCATGCTATACTCCCATGGTGATGGCGTCGTGATCGACTGCATATGACCCATATTCGTATAGAATGATCCCTGAATACCGAGCGTCTGCGCTTGTAGCGCCTGTATCTGTTGTTGAATCAACATGCGACGACAGACCATCATGGTTTTGATGTAAATTGTTCTGCGTTCGGCCGAAATGGCCAACAGGTTCGCCGCATTCGGGGGAGACTGTGCGCACGCTTCCGCATACAGACGACGCATTCTGGGGCTATACATCTCACACATCGTGTGGCCCTCGCGAACGACACCCTGCAGCGGCATTTTTGATGCCAAGGCGGTATCTTTAACAAACTCGTGGTGACAGCTCGGACAAATCGTGCAGTCCTCCCAGCCGTACCAGACTCCATCCTCAAAGTCCTCATCACGCCGGCACACCGGCATGTTTGCGTAGTCGCGCAAGAAAGACTCAAGCGGACTTATATCGCGCAGGTAGTAAGCCTCGAGCGCTTTAGATATGTAGGCCAAGAACCGCGGGCTGCCGGTGCTAAAGTCGCACACGAGCGTCTTGTTACTTGGAACGTCAGTCCTTCGAACGAAGTGCGATGACAGGCCTGCGGGCTCGGCAATACCGGCGAAGCAAGCACCACAGATCTCGAAATTGGCGGGTCGCGATGTCAGGGTATACCAGTTGGCTCCTCGCATACCGCTCGGGTCGCATTTGGGCTGGCGGTAGATTTCGTGCAAGGCATGCCAGAAAATGGAGTAGTCCTGACAATCTTCGCTTCGACCCCATGCGATACGGACATTGAAATGGCCAAGGGCGCAATGGGCTTGATTGCCGTAGCCCGCTGGCATGTTGCCGACCCTGCGCCACCTGACCTCCTCGCCAGTGTGCACAATTTTGTCGCAATAACAGGTCTCGCAGACGAGAACTTGCCTAGGGCCATTGACTGGAGCGTACCATGTGTGCAGCGCAAGCACGACGAGCTTCTTCTCGCAAGCTGGCATGTACAGCCGACGCTTTACTTGCTGGACGAAGTTTGGGTAATCATCCATATCTGCTCGATAGCGGTACTCGTGCTGGATGTGTTCAACAGCCATATCGCATGCCCATTGCGCGTCAGGTGGCTGAGTTGTTGAAAGTGCAAACTTGTCCGCCCAGTGACGGGCATTCACATGGTCTTCGTAACATGCTTGGCAGACAACCATCTCGGGGATGGCTTGATCTTTCAGGCGGAACCACCGGATGCCTTCGGATCCTAAAGCACCCGTCACGCCTCTACAGTCCGCGATCGTTGGCCGCAACTTCATGAAGGCAACCAGCAGCGAGAGAGACCCGTCAGCCACGGCGCGCCTGAATAACTGGTCTTTAACCCTTGGTTTGCTGAATTTGCACCCACTGGGCCAACCTCTATCAAACACTCGCGGTTTGAAGTTCGATTCAAATAGAGAATTCCGGATGTGGTCCTCGAAGCAGCGTGAGCAAACAGGAAAGTTGGGCGCATCGTCGTGGATGTACCACGTTGAAGAGAACGCGATAGGATCCGCAACACAGGCTGTAAGCCCTACAGTAGGAAATCGATTCAACGGCTTCGATGGAGAGTCGCTGCCTAGGGATGGCGCTGAATGTTCTTCGGATGGTGGAAATGAATGCGGTGCAGCCACAGGTGGGCTGACCACTGGCGGTGCTTGTCCCACCGCCAGGGACGCGAACATGCGCTCGACATCTTGGAGGCCAGTTTTGATACGGGCTGAAAGACCTGCCGGCTTCGGAATATTCAGGCCCGCAGGAGGCTGAAAGGCAGCAGCGTTCACATTCGCTCCGTAGAGTGTGGCATTAGGATACTGAGGGGCGGGAGCTGGCGCGCCGTGCGCGATGTTTGTCGAAGCCGTGGCATGATGAAGGGGGGGAGGGGGGGCACGAGGCCTCGCAGGCAGTGCAGGAGGACAGGCCGTCGCCGTGGTCCCTGCCTGCGAAGCTTGTCCGAAGTTAGGCCAAGACGACGGGACATATGCTTGTGAAGGGGCGTATTGTGGTACGTGAGGCGGAACAAATTGTTGCGATGTCGACCATGGTGCGGCATATCCGGCTGGTCTTGGGGGCAGCGGCGGTGACCGAGGTCCTGACATTTGTGGTATCGACAGGCTTGGCTCGTAAGTCGAGGGCCGCATGGGCAGAGGCGGTGGACGCTCGTTCGGATCCGACATGGCGGGGGATGTGGCACGATGGCAGTGACGGATGAGGCTATCACGAGAGCAGGCGGCAATGGACGTCCTTGGAGCGACGACACCAAGTTCCACGGTTGATATGTCACAATGGGTGGCTGACGGTCTTCTGGTGGGCCGTCTCTCAGCTCGACGCCGGTGCATCCGCACAGCTGCAGTTGCTCCACTAGGGGACTTGTGGATTGGGGTCCCATATCGTCCGAGATGATAGATCAGCGGCCGCGGCAATCCTTGCGAGCCCCTGTCTGCGGGGTGGATTGACGGCCCAGCTGCTACATGTACATGTACATGGTACGTATGGTCTCTCATCTCTCCGCGCCTCTGATGCTTGATAATTCATCGACCGTATCGACCAAACCGGCGCATCGCATTGCTTACCTGTATCGAGACTGGTGATGCCATCGTGAGATGAAAAGGGGATGATGAGCCACGTCCCAAGGAGGGCTAGTAGTTCTAATTAGGGCTAGTGCGCGCAAGAAGGGACGGTAAGCACAGCTTGTGCTGGGCCTGAGCCACCAAATTACGGCTTGGGCACGTGTCACTCGCGTGTGCTAGGGAGATGGTCTATTCGATGTAAGGTACCTACCCCCCCGTCGATACAAGTCAGGAATGCAGGTCCCCGTCCCACCTGCCCGCTGAAGAAGTAATAGAGCTTGTGTTCAGATCCGCGTTCCTGGGAGAGGAGACCTCTAAACATATCGCGATCTCCTCTCTCATCATCGCCCTCCGCACTATGACAGACCACAATGATGGGGAATAATGTCCGACGGCTTCACAGTCTGGGAATCGAGCCCACTGGAAGAGTCCACCGATGACGCTCAGTCGCCCGGGCTGGCCACCCAGAAGTGGCCACGGCTACAGGGGTCTGTCCAGGGAGGCCTGCGGTTCCGAGATTGCCATGGCAGGTCTGCCACGACCTTGACGGCGAGTGCTGCCGCTCGTGCTGGGTTATCCAAAAACCTGCTCCTGTCCGCCTGCATTGGACTCATCTCCAATTTCCCTCCCAGAAGTCGCGTTTTTCCCATCCGATCACCGTGACGCACCATTCGCCGTAAGCACCATTCGCCGTAAAGCATTGACAGATCACCAACACGAAACGCGACCGACCAGCGTCGCCGCTGTCTTCACTTTATCAATCGAACTGCCTATCGAACTGTATGCGCTCAGGCGCCGCTTCCTCCGCCTCTTCCACGCCTCCCCCCCGCCATGGCCCGCGATCCGACATGGCTGCCAGCATCATAGGCAGCGAGCCACCATCCCAGACATCTACGCCGAAGCCCGTACAACCACGTCCGGGTGCTCGTCGTAACAATCGGACATCCCTCTACCACCCGCCCGCTTCTGCGCAAGGCAACGGCGCACCGGAAGTCTACTGGTCCGAGGGTGCGACGCCATCTGGCTACAGCCGCGGTGATGAAGGTGAAAGCTACACGTTTTATCGGGAACCAACACCAGAGCCTCAAGAGAAACGACGAACGGGTGTTGGCATCGACACGCCCAGCGACGATGAGGCAGGCTTCGGTCGCTGGGCAGGGAAGGCGAGGTTGAACCGGCGAATGTGTGGGTTGAGGGCATGGGTTTTTTGGGGCATCGTCGCCTTGGCGCTCATCGTCTTGATCGGCGTGGGCGTAGGCGTTGGTGTAGGCGTGGGCATGTCGTCGGGCGGAACCAGTGTTGCTGCTGCGTCCGAGGCTGAACCTTCGAGCTCTTTGTCTGCATCACCGACGACGTCCGCGTCAACGGAATTGGGAACAATGACGATAGAGAGGTGCGTACACTTCTACGGCCAACCTGACACAAGAGCACTGCTGACTACTCTCCAGCTCGCCATCGGCAAGCACGGCGCCCGCGACGCCGGACTCAACAACAGCGTCAGTATCGAGTGATGCGGCGTTTCCTACGGCTACAAGCCCCGGTTCCCTCATATGCCCCGAGTCCAATTATACCCTCTACGGCGTCCCAGGCTCCAGCATACGTTTTCTACGGCTTTGTGGCGTCGATTACCCATCACAGCAGGGCGCCGTAGATATTCGCACTCTGTGGACAGAGAGCATGGCTGAATGCATGCGGAACTGCGCCGGCACCCCAGGATGCACCGGCAGCGGCTGGGGGCCCGCCGAAGGGGCCTGTTGGTTGAAGAAAGACTTGACAACAGGGGGTCGTAGTGACCAAGCTGACTGGGAGTTTGCACTGCTACAATAACGAGATGGATGACCATAGATGCCTGACGCAATACTAATATTTATTTGTTCACTCTGACGGGCTAGACGAGATGGCCCATGAACCTGTCAGTCGCCTTTGCAATGAAGCGCCCTGGCCGTTCTATAACCCTTCCTGCCAGTTTCCTCCGCATTACTCATCTGGCTCATTACCGCCCGCTGCCTAGTACACCAGACCAACAGCGGCGAGACAACCTACTACGACGCTAACAAGTACGCGTCCCGATTCACGCGGCGCGGCATTGTCAGACTGTGACGCCGACGCGTCCGTTGCAGCAGGCGAGCCGTCGCTGCCCGACGTACCCGTTGCCGCGGGATCTGCCTCGCCCGTGATCTTGGCCGCGAGGCTGGCGCATGAGCCAGAGCCCGTGGGAAGGTCGACCTGGTCGCGGATGCCAGGCACGTCGCTGCAGGCCTGCCACAGGCTGCGAAACTCGCTGATGTGGTCCTCCTGCCAGGCCAGCAATGCGTTGGCGTAGCTGGTGAACTCGGAGGCCATGGAGCCCGTGACGGACGGGACGGCGCACTGGTCTTCGGCTGACAGGATGGCTGACTCGGTCAGGATGAAACGTGCGAGGTCCGAGTCGGGTGTGGGAGCGCTCGTGAGCTGAGGCAGCACCTCGGCAGCGACGGATGAGCACTCTGCGAGATCGCGGCCGGCGACATGCGCGGCCGCCGTGGTGGGTGTCGGTTCGCGCGGAGCAATATTGGCAGCAGCGGCAGTCGAGGCAGCGGCCACAGAGAGGAGGAGCTGCGAGGCGTACATGGCGAGCCTTCGGGTGGGACGAAGAGTGGCAGCGTGATGTGGACGGCGATTGACAACGGTGTGCCACAATTGAGCACTTCGGAATCGGATTAAAATGGGGTTGACGGCAAAGAGAGTATTCACAATATGTGGGAGGACCGGCCTACAGATGAATGAGAAACGAAAAGTGTAGGGCGGGACGAGAATAGAACGCAGGAGACGGGTGGGCTGAAGGAATTGAAGGATCGTGAAAGCGCCTGGGCCTACACCGTTTCTTATAGATCAGGGCACACATGGGAAGGTTCTTGCGATGATGCTTCAGTCTATCTGAGACCACACACAGACGAAAACGCCCGGACTCGCTCGAAGAGAATAAGGTATCTCGACCATACCTGAAATCAACTACTGGACGATGCCAAGGCGTCGTGGCGAGGCTAGGTGAGGCTTCGCACAAGGTGCCTGAATTGGCGGCAGGAACCCATACCGAGCATTGATTGAGCCATCACCAGGTCGCCCCTGCCAGAGCAACGTTTTGAGCACCTGGCTGGGGGTTTGTGCTTCCTTGATGCTTCTTCTGGCAGTGATGCTTGTGCCAGCAACAGTTTGTCTCAGGACTCCAGGAGACAGTAGGCAGGTACCTCAGCGACTTTCAGGTAGGTACCTTATCTAGGAGTCCTTAGGTCCAGAATCGGTTGTAGCATGAGACCAGCACATCTGTCGTCGAACGCAGTCGTTGACTTTCATTCAGCGACCAAAGAATCTCATCCAACTTCACCCTCGCGGTTCTCGCGCGCACTCATCGCAGGATCAGACTGCGCCGCTGAACTGGAAACAGTCCGTCGTTACCAGTGTTCGGCTCGTCCGAGCTCCAAGCGAAACGACATAAGGCCCTGGTCTACCTCCAGGGACCTCAAGTAGTTAGGTACCTCAAGGTAGGTTAGTACACCTGCCAAGAAGCCGGTTCAGCTGACACACCATGCGGCCCTCAGGTAGCCATTTATCATCTGCCATCTCGAGCTTCATCTCATGTGCTGCCATGGTCGCCTCGAAAGTTGGGATTGTGTCCCGTGCACCAACAGGCGACCGCATGTTGAGACGCCACCTCAGGTCGATTCCTGCTCGTGGGTCATTGGCCCGAAAAGTTCCGCTGAGTTCAATCCAGCATGCCATTCCAAAACCTGCCGGATCGTCACCGAGCTTCTGTTCTCCCAGCGAGCCGGCGTGGGGGAATCCATGCCGTGTCCCCTCTTCCCTACGCTCCCCGGCCGCGGACAGCCCTCCGCGCCGGTCAGTGCCGGCTGATCGCGGTCGCGAAGTGTACCATGTAACACAATAACTCTCTTATTACTTGATCCATGTGTCGATGTTCCCCCGACGCCGATACAGACCACCCAAATCGCCCCGGCCAGTGCAGTGGCTCGCCCCATTTACTGTCCATCTGCCATCCAGTAGGTTTCCAAGGGGGGGGGGGGTCCAGTCGTTACCTAATGGGCGCTGGCGGAGGCCTGGTGGCATCCCCCTCAGGTCATCACACACGCCCTGCACAGGTGTGAACGTTTGCCAGAGTATCCTTCGCAACAAGCAGCTGTCCATTGGTGGACTTTCCCTTCTATGACGAGCCCTCTCTCCTCCCGACTCTACACCACCTCTCTCTTTCTGTCTGTGTCTCTACTTCGTCTGGCACAGCCCCCCTCCCCTTTTTCTCCTCGGCGTCCCAACGGTCAACCCGAGGAGAAACTCTAACACTGTAGCTACTCTCGGTGCTGTCATCCCTGCTGACGCTGGGTGATTGCGGGGTGCATGCGCCGCCTCTTGGCCCCCCTCCACCCAGCTGGCCACCCAATAGCTGGCACAGGCCCCCTCCTAGCCTTACGCGGGCAGCAGATCTCTGATGACCTCGAGATGGTGTGTTACCTCTCTCTTTCTCGGGTCAAATCGCCCAGCCATTGCAAGAGCCCCTCTGATGCAAGTCTCCAGAAACAGAAAAAATGTGGCAACCTCGCAGTCATCCTGTGATACGACCCATCAATGAGGTGGCATTCAGCTGCACCAACGATGTCTGACCGGTCACTACCAAGTATTCTTTCCCGCCGCTCAGACGATCTCTGCCCGACGAGCCCCGCCCCTGAAGCGAAGTAACATTCCTCTCAGCATGCACCCCGACGGGGAACGGTTGTCGCCTCGGTCGTTCGGTGGGGGTCACTCCAGCAGTCTAGAATACAGCACTATCCCACCCGTGGGAGGAGGCGCTCACGATGTGCTGCAAAATCATGCCACTGACGCGAATCTGACGACTTGGCTGGGCGCTTGCAGCTTTCATACGACGAATCACTTTCCATTATTACTTCGTACAGAGGCTTTTCCGAAGAACAAGATCCACAAATATTAACCAAACGCCCAGCAATGCTGTGGAATCCTCCCCGCCACTCCAGAAAACCCGCCCAGCGAGACAGCCCGGGTTGGGGAGCATACATGCACCTCGGTCCTGAATTCGATCCGCCCAGGCTTCTTCACGCCTCGCTCTCCAGAGCCGCCTCCTCTCTGCGCAACTCGGCCATGCCCTCCACGATGCCCTTCAGTTCTTGTGGTGTTGGTGCCACGCATGGTCGTCGTGGCTCTCCACCGTATCCCTCAAAGTGTCCAATAGCTGCCTTGACACCGACGAAACCTGTCCTGATGGCGACCCAGTCACACTTGGCGGCCATAGCCTGGAGACGTCGCGCTTCGAGGAGCCGACCCGTCCTGAAAAGCTCCATGATGCGTACGCAGGCCCGCGGTGCCACATTGGCGAGCCCAGAGATGGTGCCATGTGCGCCTACGACCATACCCTGCAGAATAAAGTCGGCGCTTCCTCCTGACACGAAGAAACCCTCGGGCGCGTCCGCCGCAACCCGAGCTAGTTTGCCCGTGTTCCCGCACGTCAGTTTGACACCAACAACGTTGGGATGCGCTGCGATTCGTAGGATAACATCGGAAGAGAGGTCGCGCCCAGCCGCCGCCCCGGGAAAGTTGTAAATGAGCAACGGCAGCGGGCTCTGATCGGCCACGTCATGGAAGTAATCCACAATCTTGTTGTCGTCGAGCAGACCGCCGTAGTAGCTCGGGGGCAGCATCAGAGCGTGGGATGCCCCGCTCTTGGCGGCGTCCCGGCAGAGCTGCAGCGTCTCTCGCGTTGACTGGGCCCCGCACCCGGCAATGAGGGGGATGCGGACATCGTGACCCTCTTGGTGGATCGTGTCGGCGGCGCATCGGATGACGGCCGCGCGCTCCTCTCTCGTGAGGTGGGCTACCTCGCCGTTGGATCCATGAACAACAATGCCTGCTACGCCGGCGTTGATGAGACGCACGAGATGGCGCTCCAGGACGTTCAGGTCGACCTCGTCATTTTCCGTGAAGAAGCAAAGCGTCGGGACATAGACGCCGTCGGGAAGACGATGGTGTACGGCCTTGGGCTGACCGGCAACCCATGTTGCTTCCGCTGGGGGTGGTGTCAATGTTGAAGGCATGATCAATGCGTCTGTATATGGGGAGTTGTGCGTTTTGGAAGGCGGGGTGCTGACTGATAGCAGCAGGATCAGCAGGAACTCTCGCCTGGCTGAGAACGACGAGCAACGTTTAAATAAAGAAAATATGCGCGTGGTGATGGCGAGAATGAAAGAACAGTGACCGGACACCAGGGCACTGAGCACCTGCTATATACTCGTTCGGATACCGCCGCTCATCGGCTTGATGGTCCGTCCAGCTGAGGTGCGCGCCGGCCGGATGTCTGTCTCCCACCAGACAGGAGCCCCATGATGGCCTGGTGTGCGGCTTTCGGATGCTCTTGGCTAACATGGTCGGTGACTGCGACGTGGGGGTGGCCAGGCCACACGTAGTCAAGGTTCTGATTTGTCTATCTACGTACCAGCGCCCCTCAACACCTCAACAGACTATTTCTCAGTCGGTCACGCGCGGCCGTACACAGACACAGACAGCACAACGGCCCCTGTTTCCACCCCCCTCTCAGACCTGTACGAGACAAGCCCGCCGAACACGTCCTGATCTGGGGAACCCCCACGCTCCCCAGTGTCCAGCTCGTCTTGACGATGGCTTGCCCCTGGCTTCCTTGCCCCCCCCCCCTTGACGCTGGGATTCACCAGCTCTGCATCCGGCGACCAGCAGGAGGAACAATCAGCTCGCTCCCCCCACGTCGATCTTCCAGTCATGGGGAAAATTCCCCGTCGCCATCATCGTTGCTCTTTTTGATTGGGCACGTCTGACAGCGCTTGGAGTTCGCCCCTCCTCCACCTTTGTCTCACGCCCCCCAACTTTGCTCATCTCACATCTCAATAACCCGGGTCTGCTGGGCGTGCGGTGCGACACTGCATCCTTGCCATGGCTGGCCGCGATTCCCCCTCTCTGGCCAGCAGCGTTTTCTGAGCGAATGATGCCCTCTCTCAACCCTCCAGAACAATCCCAACGGTCGACCAACAGTGACTTGTCGGCGCTGTCAACATCTCAGGAACGTGATGATGGCGCAACTGCCTGCATGGCCTTTTCCTCACGTGAGACAGTCGCTCCGGGCGATGGCACACGTGAAGCCATAGCTCGCTAATAATCTGGTGATCGACCTGTTTAGCACCTTTCAGCTTTGAATAAATGTCCGGGCACCGATTTCGTATTACAACCCGACCGCTTGGGCCGCTCCAGCTGACCGATAGAAACATACATTTGTCTGATGAATGCTTGCTTGCTTCTTCCCCTCCGGCCAGCCTTGTTTGGTGCCGCTGAGGACGCCCGACAGCGAGTGCATGCTGTGCGAGGCCTGAGAGGCCTGAGTCGTATTGAAAGAGCTGCCCCGCCCTTGACATCCTCAGCGCCATCTCGTCTCGCTGCCTCCTTAATCGTAGTGCATACGGCAACTTCGGCTCTTCGTTCTCAAGATCGACATGATGCGATGCAGCACATGCTAGCAATGGTGCACTGGTGACTCCATGGCAGCACCTGCACAGAGCCACGCAACAGTCGTGCGACCATGGGCATGACATCACCACACGCAAAAGCCGGCACCTAGATACTCATATTCATTGGGTCGATGTCACGGCCCATGCAGCAGCTCCATCTGCTGCTGACGACACAGTGATGGTCAAGGACTTCTGGGTTCGGAGTTCCGCAGGATCTTATGTCACTGACCCGGCTCTCACGCCTGTTAAGAAGCGACCAGTTTTGCAGAAGTCCTCGCCAACAACCCGATACTTGGCCTACCTTCGCATGCGAGCCAAGTCTTCCTACTTACCAGATATCAGTCATCAGTCGTGAAAATGGCTCCAGCCGAACCACACGCGCTTCCCTTCCGAACGAAAACCAATCTTCCTCACTTTGCGGAAGAGAGAGAAGGATGGAAGGGCTATATCGAGTGGGAGAAATACCCCGAGAAGAAGGAGCAAGCGCAGAAGATCCTAGCGGAATATGATTTTCCGGACGTTCGTGTTCCTATGTCATTGGTCTTGAATGCTGCCCCATGGCTCACGCTCATCGCAGCCTCCAGAATTTCAACTTGTCCCGCTGCCGGACACCAACCCAATTCTCACCGGCGAGCGATTTAAGCAGTACCACTACGCATGCGGCCTTGACTATATCCCTCGAATCAGCTGGGAATATGTCCAGAAAGAGAAGGCCAAGGACATGATCCATGTCTTGCAGTTTCCATATAACGGCGAACCGGTCAGAGTACGCGTTTCGATCACCCTCGCCCCCCTACATTTCTGACTAGTCACTAGGATCGCCTCGTCGAGACTGAAATCACTGACAATAAGGACCACTTTGTCCGTAATCATGGCGGTGTACCCGAGATTGATCCTGAAAAGTTCACTCTCGACATTGGTGGTCTCGTCAACAACCCCCGAATCCTCACGCTAGCGGATCTTCAGAACGAAGCGCTATTCTCTCGTCAGAGCAACGTTGTGTCACTGCAGTGCTCTGGAACCCGCCGCATTGAGCAAATACACGAGTACCCGGGCGATGGCGACGAGCTCATCAACGCTCCTTGGGGAGAGGGTGCTATCGGCACGGCGCGTTGGACTGGAGTCAGTTTGAAAAAGGTCATAAAATACTGCGGCGGCCTTCAGGACGGCGTGACAGACATTGAGCTCCGCGGCGCGGACACTTACTTCAAGAAGGGCAAAGTGATGAACTACCTCGTCAGTGTGCCCTGGCGCAAGGTCAAAGCGCACGAAGTCTTGCTTGCATGGGAGATGAACGGGGAGCCTTTGCCCAAGATCCATGGTTTCCCACTTCGCGCAGTCGTCTTTGGCTACATCGGTGCTCGCAGCGCCAAATGGCTGTACCAAGTTCGCGCGATACGCGGCCCTAGTCCTGGACCAGTACAGATGAAGGAATACCTGTACTACACGCCCCAAATCGGCAAGCAGAACGCCAAGTTCAGCAACGGCTTCTCCATTCAGGATATGCCAGTGAGCTCCGCCATCATGAGCCCCCGCGATAAGGACCAAATCATCCATGATGGCAAGGTCAAGCTCCGCGGCTGGGCCTACTCTGGCGGCGGCCACTGGCCTGTGCGAGTTGAGGTCAGCGGTGATGGCGGGTCAGTCTGGTACGAAGTACCTTGGCAGAAGATGAGCACAAAGTACTTCTGGGCCTGGCGACTCTGGGAAATTGATCTGCCCGTAGATGCTGAGGGCTGGCTGGAATTTTGCGTGCGAACGTGGGACAATGCCATGAATACACAGCCCACCTACGTGAGGAGTGCATGGTGAGTTCTTTTATGTCGTCTCACCAGGACACCAAGCTGACAGCTGCTACAGGAACTGGGGTTTGCACGTTACGTCGTCTGCTCACAGAATCAAAGTCTACAGCATTAACAAGAGCAAGCCTGATACGGCTGCACGGCTGAAGCAACTTGAAGAGAATGAGACACCCATGTTGCCGATAACGCACCCCATAGAGATTGACCTCGAATCTGACGAAGAGTACCACGCAGCTATGATCGCACAAGGGGGGCGCGATCCATTGGAGTGACGGCTGAGATCTTGACTCTAGGAGTACCCTCGTTCATTCTTACGTGAGGTTAGATATCTTGACTGCTGAGTTTCACGGCCACTGCTTATTTTCCTTTCCTCAATGTCACTTCAAGGAATCATGAAACGGCGATGACAGCAGCCGCGAGCACGGGCAAGTGTGGTATTCAGGATTGCTGATCAGCCATCCTCTAAATACTCTATGCTATACTCAAAGGGCTGAACTCGGTGGGTGGGGAACACACGTGTATCTCGACGAATTGGAGAGATCAAGGTTTCTATCACTAGTCTCTGGTCAAAGATATTGCTATTAAGGAAATGAGACAAATGAAACCGATCTGTCGTGATCAAGTTAGGCTTCGCTCCCGCAATCTGGAGTCTTGCCCCTCTAATCAGCCTGCATAAGTCGCCTGGGGTCTTCTCTAATGCACTACTACTACTGGTGATCTGTTCGGGTATATGATCGCCATAATGCTTTTGTACAACTAATGTCTCTTCAAAATTACAGTCCACCCAGTGCTGCAGTGCTGTTAGCCATAGATCGCAACGAGAGAATGTGCGTGTCAACATACCAGCCGAGTACGCCATGTACCATGTCCTTGACGCTCCGCCATCAATCCATGCAGGCTGGAATGATGATGAGTTGAAGAAGGCATACGCCTTGGCAGGCTCGATGATGGCGTAGTTGGCGTAAGCGATGCCCTTCCAGGCGTTGTTGATCTTGTCAATGCGACCGTTGCTGAAGTAGGTATCCCATTCCTGTTTGATGAAGGTCTTGGACCGCGAGAGCCCTGACGGCGCGTGTATGGGAATCATGTGAATGCCTTGGATGGCCTCAATGTTCGGATCGAAGAAAGTCGTGTGGTGGACCTTGTTCTCGAACAGAATGCCTGCTACCTTGTTGCCAATGAAGCTGGGCGGCTGGGCCGTGTTGTCGGATGTGTAAAGGTAGTACTGCTGAAGACTCCTCGTCATCACAGACAACTGAAGGTTGGCCCTGTGGGATCTGTTAGGAATACGCTTCTTGCGTGGCCTGGGCGTGAGACATACCTGGCAACCATGTTCGTGTCGCCGATGACGGTTCCCCACATCTTGATGGCATACATGGCCGAGATGTCCTCAGAGCTAGACTCCTGGTTTTTACCGTCAAGTGAAGGAAAAAGACCATGCGCCCAACTGTGTCCATGGTACCAGTCGAAGCTGCGGTGCGGCGGGAAGAATGTATCCAGCACGGTTGGGTTGGCATAATCACGCACGAGTGTGTTGACGTAGTCTTTGTTCTGAGCGAGCCAAGTCTTATCAAGGTAGCCAATGTAGGCGGCAGCGAGGACGTGATAGCCGTAGTGGAAATGATGGTCGTTGTAGTACGAGTTCCCAAAGTCGGCCATTGGATCACGGTTAACGTATGTCGCCGAGGAGACGACTCCGCCCCAGGCACCTTTGCCCTGTCAGCTTGCTGAAAATGTGGATGGTAGGGGAATTACTCACTCTCGTAGATCAGGGGGAACTTTTGCTTATTGGTAGCAAACACAGCGAAGGCGGCCTTGAGCTTGTTGAGGCCAGCCTGGGCCAAGGCCTTGTCTCCGAGCATATCATTGATGACATAAACAATTTGAGCAAACTTGGCCAGTGCCTTGCCACTGAAGTACATTGAGTCGAGGTTCGTTTGGGCGTTCATATCCTGCGAGATCTCAGACAATGCGACAGGTTTGATGGCGTTCTTGACGGCTGTTGACAAGGCAAGACGTCCCCCTCTGGTGATATCCCATGGAGAAAAGCTCATGCCGGTGGGAAGATTGGACTCGGTCATTGTCCAGACAGAACCAAGAATCGCGACGCCGACTCCCTTTGTCGGTGTCTGGAGCTTGAGTGCCGAAATACGTCTTGTAGTATCGGCATTGAAAGAAGCAACGTGGTGGGGCAGGGCGTAAGTGTAGATGTTGCCTTTGGGATGACCAGTCTTGGCGAATTTGAAAGAGTACGTTCCAACCGTGCCGGAGGCCGAGCCGGTCAGGGTGATACCAGTCGCGTAGATACCTGCACCATCGTCCAGCACCTTCTCTGAGCCCGCTGTCTTCGGGTCCTTGGCGATCTGAACGGTACCGTAAAAGGGGTTCCTGCTCTGGACCAGGCCGTTGTTGATTACCTGAAGATCGAGCGCAGCCCCTGAAGTGCTGTGGCCGTAAACACGCCAGGTAGTGCCATCTTCGAGGAGGAAATTGTACTTGACCACGTTGGTCTTGGGGTTTGTGGCTACCCGTACCATGCTACGGATGTAGACACCCGACTGGATCATGGGGGTACCGCCTGAAAACTGGCCAGTGACAAATGCCATGCCCTGAATGAGAGGCAAGATGATGGAAGGAGCGGACGCCGCATTCCTTTTGAGTCCAACGCGAGCGGAAAACGCGGTCGTCTGGTCCATAGCGAGAATAGTGTCCTTACCGAGCTCCTTGGCCGAGAGAATCATCGACTGGATGCCAACCGGGTTGATGTAGTACGCATTGGCCTTGTTGTATTCGATAGGACCGAATACACGCTGTTTCGGCTCGGTGTGAGATATAGCAATGCCCCAGCTCGCTGCCGGGCCCTGGCCCCTTGACCAAGCGATCGAGTAGGGAAACGTGTAGGTCGGGCCGGTCTGGTCACCGAGGAAGAAGTTGGAGTAGAACTTGTTAGTTTGGATGGGGCCTGACTTGCGAACTCCAAGGCGTGGCGCCGGATGATCAGTCCGCCGGATGATGGATGATGGTGGAGCACTTGTTGCTACTGGTACGGCAAAAATGTCACCACCAGCCCTTTGTTCGAGTTGTTGAGTCGGTGGCCTTGCTTGTCTCTTCTTCAATGTTGGCGACGCCACTGGCTGCAACAGCGATGTGGGTGAAGGAATAGGAGTGGTCAAGAGCAGTCCTTTGGTCAGAGACTCCACGACGGGGTCGATGATACCAGTCGTGTGGGGTTCGACATCTGATAGTGTTGGCAGCAACAGCGCTGTACCGGTTGGAATAACAGTGGCCTTGACCGTGACCGTCTCATCAGTCGGGATGATATCATCCTTGGCGTATGAGGTCAGATAGTCGCTAGGCAGCGGATCGACGGTCAGGGTAACAGCGGGAGGCACAGTCAGAGCCTGAGCTCCGGCGAGCCAGAGTAGATGGATGGCAGAATGCTTCATGTTGTCGAATGGGTGCTTGAAGACCTCTCAGCATCCTCCCCGACAACCCAGGCAGCGGGCCTGGGCTGTTTAAAGGCGATCTACCAGCTAGGAACGCCATCGGTTGGTGCGCGCCACGAGGGTGATGGGTGTTGGATGGCTTGCAGTGAGAAATGAAGGGTCTCGAATTGGGACATCGCTAAAGCGACTTTCGCGCGTGGTCTGGGCGAGACCGAACCCCAAATGGGACGTATTGAGACAGCGCAGAAGCAATGGATCGATGTGTGACAGGGTTGGCACGGCTTGCATGTGGACAAGTCCAGGGGCACAGTCCGCGGCAAACTGGTCCCATTGGCTGGATGAAATCTACCAAGAGGGGCCAGAAGCTTATCCGAAAGTCGGAGATATGGTGC